ATTATAGTTAATCAATGGTAAATATGAAGATAAGCACACACATGATACTCCCTATAAGGACAGGAAGATACAAGACTAATGATACCTACATATAAAAACTCAAGCAGTTTCACATTGTAATCAACAAACGCACATCTGCCAAAACCAGTCATTAATATCGAACTTACATAATAAAAACAAAAGTTTTAATTCGCAATGTGTTTGTTACAGAAATTGTAACAATAATAATTGTGCCGGTGAACCAGTGCAACCATTTTGTTTTACATCTCAAAACACACTAATTGCTAACATTGCAAGACCACGGTGATCCAACGTATTACGGAATATGAGAATATGGTTCAATGAAGAAGGTGATTCTTTTTTGTTAAATCAGTAAAAATATTCTCAGTTATATCGCCGATTACTGGAAAATACAATTTTCTTTTTTTCTTTTCTTTTTTAAAAAAACGTTGCCCCACTCTAGGATTTTCTCCTGTGTCGTGGGTGCGTTTACAAACATACAAGTTCACATACACAATGACACCCAGACCCGAAACAACAATTTGTGGATCACACAAAGTGTTGTCCCGTGCGGGAATCGAACCCGCGACACGTTGCACGGCAGCCGGTTGCCCAGCCACCGCACCAACCGTGCAGTCAAAAAGTTGATGATGATTTTGGTTAAAACGAGAAGCTAAAAGAGTCAATAACTTGAAACGATGATCACAAACTCTCTGAAGACCTAAATACTAAAGTAGATATAATTAACATAACATCACGCCTTTTATCCCCGAAAGGGTAGGCAGAGGTGCACATTATGCCACTGTACAATGTAACACCCACTTTTCACTATTTATGTTATGAGTCCCATGTAATAGGGCGTGAACCTATTGCCATATACCGGGCAAAATTCCAGACTCCATGCTACCACTGAGATTTTTTTTTAAAAACCCAGTAATAGTTTGCCCGACCCGGGAATCGAACCAGAGACCCCTTGCCCGGCAATCGCACTTGCGACCACTCGGCCAACGAATTAGTTATAATTAAATGTTGAAACCTCTGTTGTATGTAACACGGCAATAGGACCATTTATTTATCATACAGGGTCAATAAAAATAAGGGGTCTAGCAGATGAGGGCCGTGCATCCACATGTCTCATCATAAATAAACAAAACAATATCAATACTATAGAACGCAATTGACAAGAAAGGTGAATAGCACCTTATGGCACGGTCATTTAGAATATTAATTAGATTGGCTACGTGATTAGGGTTCGAAATTTCCAAAATATGGATGTGGGCTTTGTATCCAGTCACGATTAAACGTATATTGTTTATTTGTAGCTTTAGTACAAACAGACGGTATAGTGGGTGACCATTTTATTGTAATAGAAGATTTGTTGGTTATCACCTATCGCGTTGGTCACGGTTGTCCTATGTAGTTTTGGTTCACAGAATAAACAGTTCCTATAAACGGTTTGGGGATAAGAACAGCGTCGTATAATAGAACGGGTCACGCAAACTTATCCTGATTGACGACCACGAACACTCTGTCAAGCGCGATAGTAACAAGAAGTTCCGAAAGAAAGGTGCAAAAACTCCAATAACAGAAGGATTTCAAAATGGGATATATGAATCCAAATCCGGCTCGACGTGCAGGAGAAGGAACGGGGTGGTTTTTAGTCAGTAAGAGTCTGACACTCCCTTCCGCCTTACCCAGGCGGGAGCAGTCATTCGATGATATTCCCCCTTAAAAAAAAATGAATCCAAATCTTAGTATTCTCGGACAAAAGAGACTACCGAAAATTACGACATAATTAAGCAGCACCCACATCAGTAAACTTTGTTGGTGTTTTTTCCAATAGTTATTTGTCTCCTTGGGACTCGCCGGAATTCAGTACCTACTCCGATGTTTTCATAGTTATATCTAAATTATCTACAGTAGATTCTAGCTTGCAAGAGTTGTAGTGGTTATTGTTTTTTATTCTTTTTATATTTGATGGGCCGACGTTTAACCACTATGTCACCTGGTGGGAAGCAATGATGCGGCCTACGATAATTTTGGTAGATTGCAGCTAGTTTGTGTCATATGAAAAGAAATACCTCTTCTACCCTTAATAGAAGGTAACAGACTTGTGATGCTACTGATATTGCAGATGTACTTAGGCTGCGCTTATCGCCAGGTACCAGGAGGCTTAAGCTTTGCTACTAACGATACTAGTTAAAAAAAATCTATACGTTCACGTACCTATTACGTAACATTGATGCCATAATAATGGTGAAATAAATCTCAAATTTTCACGGGTGGACTCGCTTATTGTAAAATGTAACTAGTTATTGATAAGAAAGCTGATAAATTCCGTTTATGGTGATATCAGAAATTCACCATGAAATCGATGTATTGATATTTTATAATACCTGTATTGTAGATGTATAAAGTTAATATTCTAAGTATGATTGCTTCGTTGCACTCCTTATGCTGGTTTTGATTGCCAGGGAGGTAATTATATTTGCGTTTTAGACCTTAACGTTTTTTTCTTTTTTACCATTTCCTGATCTAAGCGACCTAGCTATATTAATCAGTAGTTCCGATTACCCTCCGATAATAATGATCTACTTTTAAAGAAGTCAGACAACGCACGGCTCCTGTGACAAAAATATTTAGGTTCAATTTTTAAACTAAAAGAATATTATTGTATCTATTTTTATAAACAAAGCCATTCTTTAAGAGAAAACACTTTCGATCTTTACATTTTTCGTATCAAAACAAGTAAATTCTCAGGCTTAAAACGTTTTTGTGTGCTATTGTTGTCGAAGTCTGGAAATCAACGTCATTCCATTTTTTGTCATACAAAGTGTATGTTCTACATCTAACCGTTAATTTCATACAAACAAAGGTATCATTACGACCGGTCGGAAGGTCACTGGAACAGCAGTAAAAGTAGGTAAAACCATTTAGAAGATATTTTTTTCTAAGACTTCCAAATATAATTATTTACGTTTTAATAATTCTTGAAGCTAAAACGAAACTAGTTTTTAAGGAAAATATGTCTTTACGTAATATAAGAATAAGGACATGTTTTTAGAAATCAAATTGGAGATACATAATTACGAAATTTAATTACTTGTACAAATTTTTAATTGAGATGTATTTTGACCTGGCAAATTTATAAATTGGTGTCGAAATGCCTAACATATTTTAGATTCGACTCCAGGTTGGATTATTTTCTTAAATTGTTTTCTTACATTTTTCGTTTTCTTAATGGGGTTAACTGCCATCTATCTATCTTCCATATCCCTATATCGTATGCGTGTGAAATTTGTGAAATACCCATGTTAAGCCATGTTAAAAAATGAAAAGAAAGGTGAGATCTGTTCTCTTATGATAGGTATGCTTCTGACTACTTCTTCGTAATACCTGAAATAAAATATAAGAACAATCGACAAAGCTGGCGGTCGACGGTCAGCAAGCGATATCGCATGCACTCGGCGCGAGCGACTACAGGGAAAATAGGGCGGTGAATAGCGAATTAACTGTAGGATTTTGTTTGAAGTTTTTACTGCTATAAACTTTGCCGATAGTACGTCATTATTATATTATATAGTATAATAGAATACTAGGGCTAAAACCATAACTTGACAGCAGAAATTACACCCCTATGCTCTTTATTCTATGATCACTCGACCACAAAACTTAATGATAATACTTATGTATAGTAAAAAGTAAATGTTACACAGTATAAGCACATGAAATCATATACTTTAGTTGTAATGAAATGTATGTTACGTTACATGTCCCAATACAAAATATGGTTATTCTAAACGACAGGTGCTTCCCTCTATATATGTGTACATGGTTCCGGCTTTGACAACAAATAACACCGGATTCATGGGACGTTGGTGCTTGTCGCATTTTTATGGAGTCGAGCAAAGCAATGGAACTGAGTAATAGTGACAATTACCACCCATTTGCACAGCTTCATAATAAGTTACCAAAGGACATAAGAGATAATAATAACATAGAAAATTAATGTATTTAATAATAAATTGAAGGTGTATCTGGTTGAATAATAATAACGATAGTATATCAATATTGTACGCGACAGATCGAACGACATGATATATATTTAATGAACTATGTATGTTTTTGAGAAAATTAATTTCTTTCAACCGAGTTTTTTATTGTTCGAAGGTTAATTTGAATTAATTAGACTTATGGAAGATGTATCAAATCATATGTTTGTTAAGCTAAAAAAAACTTAATAATATATAAGAATAAGTTTCTTATTTTAATAATCGTAAGTTAAATCTCTTGAACATAGGAAGAAATCAAAATGTTTTAATACCGTCAAGTTTTGACTTGTAAAGTGTTTTGATATAAAACGTTTTGGCCATTTTTACCAATAAATGGATTGCCCTATATACATTCGTGATGGAGTGTAGTATGTATGAACAAAAAAAGAATAATTTTCTCAAACGAATAAGAATAAACCTCAACAATACAAGAAATAATTATAGTAAGAAACCGCCAAACGAATTTATTAGTATAGTTTGTACCTTACAATTAGCCTATGAGTAACGTAGTCCACACTCTGACACTCTCTCTCTTTCATCATTGCTACCAGTAAGGAGATCCTGCCTTACTGGTACAAAATGACTTTCGATTCTTTTGGCACCACTGAACTGGACTGAACTCCAACAAAAACATTGTCGTGCGGGTAATTGAATGAAGAAAAACTAAACATGCTATTTTGCTGTACCAACAACAAAACTAAGGTAAATACCACAAAAGAAATATAGTAAAAGTAATTGCCAGCCGCCACCGCGTTGATTGTAAACAAACACGCATCTCAGATATATAGGAAATGCAAAATTAATTTGCGATACAAAAACCCGATAAAGAATCAAGTTTGCGCTCTGAATATCATTGTAAATACTTTCACCTTCGTCAACACAATGGTTGTAATAGAAATAAATAAACATCGCCAAAGTAGATGTAACGTAAGGAAATGTAAGACTTACATCGTCCACTGCCTCTTGCCCCGGAGGACGGAGTTTCACCGAGTTCTGTCTCTTGCTGACCACCGTCGACCTCGAAGAGTATCGGTTGGACAGCCTCCTCGCGAAGTTGCTCTTGAAGTCTTCGCATCTCATGATAGACTCCACTGGTCTACTGAACTCCTCGTCCAGTTGGCCGGGAGCCTCTTCAGATTGGTGCATGAACATTGTTTAGAGAACACATTAAAAGTCATTATATACGAGTAAGTTCATTGAATAAAGATCGCCGGTTGAATTTAAAGTGACGGCGGTGAGCGCGCGCGCAGTCTATGCAACCGTTATCGCTTGCGGTGTGTGTTGGACTGACTCGATAATCCACCTGTCTTGTTTACACCTAAGGGACTACACCTAGCAACCATTGATTGCCGATAAGTACTACGTTTGATATAATTTTTTTTTTCAACTTAAATATCTTATTATACTTCTAGAGTTGAGGTTGTTTACATTTTTATTATTTGAAAAATGTTCATATAATTCGATTTAAAACTTGCGTTTAGTGACATCTAGTGGACAGAGACTCACTGTTTCGCTAGATGAATGACATGGTTAACTTGCTTTAGTTATCTTCGCAGCTAACAGACGTCGCTGTACAGTTCATGATTACCATCAGAGATGTCGCTACTATACTTTAAAATAAAAATTAAAATAAATAAAACCTCTTTAGTGTGATAGGAATTTATTTTATATATTTTGACACGAGCAGCTGTCAACGTCGTGTTGAACCTAAAATCAAAACATTTTATTGGAAAGTTTGGATTTGGATTCATGGATACATAAGAAACAAATTATTGTATGGCCACCGGCCACTACTTTGAATTATGAAAATGGAAGTGAAAGAGAGGCCTGCTGGTAATATGACTTTATATCTTTAATTCCTGGGACAAGAAAATTTTGACCATACGAGACTAGTCAAGGACTGTTTGAAGGAAAAGGACATTCAAGTGTTTAGATGTGAGCTCCCTTTCGATGACATGGTCACTCTCAGGACATGTTAAGCAAACTTTTTTTTTTTTGTTACCTTATTGATTCAGTAGCACCTTATCCATGTACTAAACGTTGTCCTCCACACATCTATTTGTCAAAGGACATACCTATGTGATATTTTTAGAGATCTGGACACACAATCTTTATGATATATTTTAGTAGGTACTATTATATATACTTCTAGTTTTATAGGCGTCCAATTAGTACCTATTCAATATATCTAATACTAGCGGCCCGGCCCGGCTTCGCACGGGTCCTATAAGCTTATATTACAGTACAATATAAATACAAACCTTCCTTAATAATCACTCTATCTATTAAAAAAACCGCATCAACATCCATGGCGTAGTTTTAAAGATCTGAGCATACATAGGGACAGACAGACGTGGATAGCGACTTTGTTATATATTATGTAGTGAAATCACAGTATCAACTCTCTCTATATAATTCACCATTAGGTAAAATTTTCTATTTATTTACGAGGCAGTTTTTATTTGATACGTTCTTAGGACTTCTAACTTGTGTAACGAGTCTTTAGACGATATTTTTATTCAGATATTATCATCCTCCCGCCATCAATTGTTACGGTTCAAGTTATAAGAGTTATAAGGAATTTAATTTAGTGGTGAGTTTTATTTCATAACAATTTTTTTATTAGGCATTCTTTGATCTGGCTTATCCATAATCTTGTGGTATCTAAATAACTAAAAGTAACTTCAAATTGGATAAGGTTGGCAATGGTGGACAAACGTCCTGATAATGGTCGCAGGTAACCGCTGGGTACAAGTTGCTTCCAACCAGCCTACATGGAAGTCTTTGGGGGAGGCCTATGTTCAGCAGGAAACGTCTTACGGCTGATATGGAGTTTCTTGCTCGTTCTTCTCCACTCGAATCGACATTTTGGAACGAGCGCCTAGCTTCACTGACGGACAGACTATTATTTATTTTATATTTGCTGACGTTTCAAAAGTACCAAATTATGGTTTAATTGAAATAAATGCTTTTGAGTTTGAGTTTATGATGATGAACTTCAAATTGAACTTCAAACAATTTGACAAACGAAACGAGTTATATCTTGTAGATTGTTAGTAGCATAAAAGAAAATGCAACGAAAGATGCTAATTTAGTCATTTTTTTAATTTTTTTTTTTGTTTGTTTTTTTAACAGCTCAACGTTATTCTAATCCAGTGTGTCAGTGTAGTAGCAGAAGAAATTAACTCAAAATGGCGAAGGTGAAAACTTTTTTTTCATTATTTTTAAACAATGAACCAACGTTCATTTTAAACTTAGTTCATACAGCAGTCTATGTCTTTCATCCATAGTTAGATTGACTATCCATTATCATTTAGAAAAGAAAACAAATGTAAGAATATGGTATATGATTTTGATGTCTGTAAGGAAAAGTACGTTCATTTTGTTTTCCTAGACAATAATTATAAATAGTCAATTTAATTAAGGATTAATAAGAATATGAACGTAGATGATGAATCATATTTTGTTGTCAATCGCGCAAAACAACAAAAACTATTTATTATTAGGTATTTCCATTTTTAAAAAAGGCGCGCTAATGACATTGGCCAATGAGGTGCGTTGTAACGGCCGAGGCAGCATGAAGTTGAGGCTGCTGAAGTACGCATGTTCCTTTAGGAGTTATAAAAATAGGTAGCCATGATTGTGTTGTTGACTTCTTGTTGCCAACTTCACTTCTAAGTTAATGGAGACCACTAGAGACATAGAAAAATTCCTTAGCTATACAGTTTTGAAAATTAGGCCCCTACTGGTAAAACCGAATTAAAATTTATTCGGATTCTAGGTAGTAGGTACTAACAGTTTGAGCTAGTCTGTATTAAACTGTTTACATTCTCGCATGTCTGTATTAATAAACTGGTTAATTATTCTCAACTTTGTTTCAAAACAATAAGGTTGAAATCGTATAGAATATAGGATAACTTTATGTATAACGACGTAGATTAACATGATCACATTAACCATGGAACATTTGTGATTTTCAAGCTTTATAATAGGCCCGCCTGTTACGGCAGTCCTATATCCAAAAATAGAAGCAATAATTACAAAAATAGCTTGTAATCATAAACACAGATGAAAGTTTCCGATACCTGACTTTAGCCCATCGCGAGGGTAACCTAACGCTGGAAAATCTTAACACCGCGATTCAGGGAACGCCCCCTTTTCTCCAACGCCACCTATCGAACATTAAGCCGTTAACTGTAACTCTCACACTGGCGCTGCAGAGAGCAGAATTTTGTTTTAAAATCGTCGAGATTGCTTTATAGAAAGGTTATCTTCAATTTTGTTTAGTAAATCTGATAGATGGCGGTAGAAAAAAAGGGGATTTAACATATTCCTAATCCTTTACTTCGTATTTATCTTGTTAAGATTAGTACAAAATTATAAGTGGTTTCACAACCACGTTTTTCTAGGAAAATATCATAACTTGTTTAGATAGAACATATTACAGATATTCTTAATAAAACCAAATTTTAAAATATAATTATTGAAAAACATGTATCTTTATAAGTTATTTTTTTCTTGCAGTGTAAAGGATTTCCACCAAAAACTGGAATATGTAATAACTTTGATCTAATAGAGATCGTTTTTATTTGTGTGGCTTTCACGTTTCTGCTGATAATAGTAACCCAAGCTTGCCGCCTTCTCTCCTCAGGATTCATACACTTTTAAACATGTATGTATATTTTTATTATTATTTACATCCATTCGGTTACGATCGGAAATACTTGGAGAAAATAATACTGATAATTTTCGCATTATATTAAAAGTGTCATGCAATTATAAACTGACACAACTAAAAAACAAAAGCTTTTAAACTAATAAATATTGCTTAGCTGAACTTCAAATTATGTTCAAACGTAATTATGAACCTTATTATTACACCTATGAAGAGTAATTTTTACTACCGATAAATCAGTTTTTTATTAGTATGAAGTTAGTTTCACACCACTGGCATAATAATACTGTGGAACTTCATGTCGTTTAAATCGTCACATAATGTGGACTACATTTTTTTTTGCTCTGTAGAGGGCACTAATGTATGTAGTATAAGGTCTTGTTTGTCCAATTACAACTCTATCTCTATCAAGCTGTAGACTCATGAATAAAATGAAGGTATACACCTTTAATATTGTAAAAAATCATAGGAGGTGGTCTTCCATCTTGAATCAGGTATTTAGTAATAAAGCCATCTTCTGTTTATATGTAAATTACTCTTAACCTATTCAATTAGGTGAAATTCACATAGCTTCGCAAAAAGACCTAGTCCAATTGCAATGTCTAGTCTCGGTATCTTCTAATCTAGACTATCCTTACGTAATATTGCATTAAGTAATTTATGACGTAAACTTCTCACAATGTAATTTACACTTGGAAGTATAAATAGAATATATTCCTAATTAATTTTTGTGCCAAAATAATTTTCACTATAAATCAAACTTAAGTTTGTGTTTCCTAATTAGTTTTAAAGGTGATAGCATAAAATGTAAGACAGCTAGTACCGTGCGGTTTGTTCGGCTTACCTCAATAGATGGGCTTTCCAACCCAAAAATATTAGTCATTCAAATCTGATCATCCAATTCAATTATAATGTACAACTAGTACAACCAGAAACACACAAACAAAATTTTCTATAATGGTCAAAATAATTAATTGATTTCAATTCACAATCTCTGGATCAATGCAATATTTTGGGAGATTTTAATATTTAACAAAAAAAAAACTAATTTCCATCAGCTTGTTAATTTTCGTCCATAACTATGACCATTCTTTTTTAAGGTACTTAACAATGGCGATAAACTGTTCACCTGAAAACCATAAATAAATACATTTCCGCATGGCTGGAGTAGGATTGAAGTAAGTAAATTTGTGTAAAACATAATATCTTTCTCGCTAGTGCAGACAGGACCTCATTAACAGCTTATTCTCGTCTACTGCTGGACATAAGCCTCTCCAATGGCACGCCACTAAGCTCGGTCTTCAGCTCTATGCATCCAACCACTACCAGCCAATTTGCGGATATCGTCACTCCACCTAGCTGGAGGATGCCCTACACTACGTTTGCCTAGACGCGATCTCCACTCCAGAACACGTCTTTCCCAACGGCCATCAGTTCTTCTACAAATGTGGCCGGCCCACTGCCATTTCAGCTTGCTGATCTTCACAATGGCAATGTCGTGGTGGCCCGAAGGTTTAAGACGCCCGCTTCTCTTACATGAGGGTGCGGGTTCTAAACCTACCAACGACAAGTACCAATGTGACATTTTCCGAGTTATATGTACTTTCTT